GGGACTCGTTCCAAGAGGGTCCCTCGTTAAGGGAGCCCTTTAGAAAACGCAATTGCTTCCGAAAGGCACGTGGAGAAGATGCCACGGGAAAGGTCACTCAGCAGCACCAGCAGAGCCAAAGCCCCTCTGAATTGCCAGACAAATGTCTCTTGCATTGGATGGACATTTCCTGAATTACACAGACATTTCCTGAAGCATGCATGTAATTTTTTCTGACGCATTTGCTCTCAAGGTTCAGTCCCACCAACTACATCCAGAGGAACAGCATGTTCCCTTCATCTCACCTTGGTTCTGCCTTGCTGATGGTTATTGTTCCTCCAACTAGTTTTGCCAAAAGCACTGCAATGTGCTCGTACAGGTCCTACTTTTCTACAAATCATACACAGAACCATCCATGCAATGGTTCTGTGGTTTTCCAGGTAGCTTAAACCGTCTCCTCTTCCCAAACTCAGCCAACCCAAAACCCCAAGCCAATATTTCTGCATTCAGGCCTGGCTGCTGGTGGGGAAGGTGGCAGGGCTTTGGTGGCTCCATTGAGACTGCCAGTAATTCCAATTAAATTGGACCTTGGTTAGGTGGGTAATTCATCATCCAGAGCGTGACAACAGTACCTGTAATTACTGCTCATATTGCTGTGGCTGAAATTCATGTGCAATAAAGGGATCTTAATATCATGCCAAACCTCACAGTTAATTTAGGTTCCATCTCCTTTCATTTATTCTGTAATAAGCTAATTAGTTCCCATAATTTGCCATTGAACGTGCCTTCGTAACAAATATATACATGAATTAGCTTATTACACAACAAATGAGGGGAACCAAGACATGAATCATTTGCAGGATTACATAAGGAATTACTGTCCTTCCCAACACCCAGACAACGCAGCCCTTGCCTTTATCACTTTCAGATATTTTGATTTGCACGAGGTTGTCCTCCTGTCTGGTGCCTCTGGCTTACCCTTCTGCTTGGAAGGTCAACAGCTCATTTCACTGTTCGAGTGTGTCCTGCTGCCACCTGCAAGTTCAGGATCACCCCCACGGAGGGAAATGTCTTTCAGCTTGGCTGCT